TGCACTGGCTTTCCTAGTTTTCCTGGTTGCCGTGCGTGTGGTGGCGCAGTTGCCGTGTGGTGAAGCAAGTCTGTATTGCCTCCTTATGACAGGCTGCCTGTGCCTCACTGCGGCCTTTAGTGATGCCATCTGATCAGCCAGAGCAGCAGGGCCAAATCTGCCCCTTGCCAAAGCAGCCCAATGGGGTTAGCTTTGGGTCTGGCTGACCCCTGGCTGCATGAACATTAGTGCTCCTGTGAGGCATGAGAGCCTTCTGCAAGTGGATTGGGCTGTGTGTGAAACCAAGCCCCAAAACAAACCCATTGGTAACAACATTCAAATGGCAAATACTACCTTGCAGTCCCAGGCCTGATTGCATCCTGAAACTGTCGTGACTGTAATATATTTTTCTTGTCTTCTCCAGTACTTTCCAACTCCTAGTCCTTTATCCTTATGCAACATTGGGTGTAAATGGCAATTTAAGGAGAAACATATTCTGGAAATATTCTCTGTCAATACCTTTTTCTCTTCTCTCTTAGAAGTGAAGAAGAAAGCTGGCTTTATCACTCCAGTGCCAGGAGGGGTAGGACCTATGACTGTTGCAATGCTTCTGAAGAACACACTCATAGTTGCTAAAAAGCTCATTTATTAGAGCGAGCTGGCTACTTTGGAAGAAGAATCCAAGCTGTTCTATTTATTGATACACAAAACATTTATTTTTTACTACAAAGATATTTATTTCTACATTGTATTTATTTTTCCATGTGAAGTWTATTGAACCTGACAGTTTACACAATGTTAAAATACTTTGTTTTACCTTTTGCTTATTTATTGTGAGCAAAAATGAATTGGAGAATGCAGCCTTTGCAGTTATGCTRTTTTTTGTCAACTATGTGTATGAAAATGAAGAGCAAAGCGTGGTTTACAGATATACATGTGTATCTCTACAAAACGATTTGAGCTCTTTGGACCCTCGGTGTTGATTAAGCTGAATGAAAGCTAGGTTTAACATGCTAGTTTTCTTCTGAAAATATGATTTGGATTCCTCAGTCATGAAGCAATTTGGGTATAATGCGTAATTTTTAATTCCTCTTTAACAGGACTCTCAACAGCAGAAATCTTGAATCTGTAAGGAGTGAAAACCTGGAGTCTGTGTTTCAACTGCAAAGCAGTAGCGTTGACCTGAAGGCAGATGTTTGGTACACATTTTAAAACACTGGTGTAAGCTTAAACATCATGCACTAAATTCTGGCCATGAATGCATAAAAAAGTTATGCATGAATAAGGGGCTGTTATCTCAATATCCAGATTTATTGTTGACGAAATGTGTTAGTGTTCGTTGTTCCTTTCCTCTGTTGACCCAAAGCCTGTGAGTTCCTTACTGAGCAGGATTAGGATCTCTATTAATTAGAATATACTTRCAAGTACTATGGAAGTTTTATGTAACATCATAAGAGAAAAAAAGAAGAGTTGATCCAGAATGAAATGTTCGTACTGGAATTTTAAATTGTATATTCTCTTATCATCTCAGCCCACATTAAGGGTTCTTAGTTCTTGTTGCAAAACTGGGTTTTGCAATTCCTTTGCCTCGTTATTCTGCTGCTTACAGAGGACTGTGGGGATAAGGAGATGCCTGCCCTGAAAAGAAAATAAAACCTGGAAAAAGGGGTGATCACTGACTTATTTTTTTGCTTCCCCTCCCCTTTTTTTTTTCCACCTAAGCATTTAATTCCAAAGGTGGACCTAGGGTCTTAGTGCAATATAGAAGTTGCATTAGAGTTACTGGTCAAAATCCAGTTTTGTTGATAGTGTATGAACTGTCAACATGAGGAGCCTGCTGCAGTTCCCTGTGAAGGTAGTGGGGGGTGAGCCTGGGTCTTACTTTCAATTTTTATCTCATTTGGGATAATCTTGATTTACTTKAACAAAAGACTTTGGTTTTTGCCATCAGATTATAGATTGCCTGAAAGAAAGAGAAATGAAGTATGTCTAAATGCTTCCATTCAACAAGAAAAAAAAGAAGTGCTTGCTATAATAAAAAGATGGAGCATTGCCTCTGTACTGGTTGTTCTACTGGTGGTCTTTCTTAGACTTTCCTTAATGCAGATTTTGCAAAAGGAATTGACAGAATCATTTCTAAATATGTGGGCCCAGTCTTGCAGGGGCTTGCTGATCTGTTTAAGCAGTACTATAGATGTTAGCAGGATCAAAGTGTATGAAAGTAACACACTAAATGGTCAAGCCAGTGTTGACTAAGGAGGAATAAAACTCGATCACTATTACGCTCATGTTTTAGAAATGTGTTAATACGGTGGGATTTTTTATTGCTCTKCTAGGAGCTGAGTGATGAACCCTGAGTATTAGTCAACGATTACCTTTTTTTTCCCATCAATTTACACTGCTGCCCTATAGTCGTGATCATTTTGCTTTATTTAACAAAAATATTCTTTACATTTTTGGCAGAAATAGCCATTTCTGCCATTTTGCTTATGTCACTTGAACGAGTTGATCTCCTGCACATCCTCCAACGAGTTTACTGCGCGTCTTCAGCTCTTCTCTTTTCTCCCTCCCGGCTAAGAGGTGGTGGGATGGAGGCTCCGCGCAGCCGCGGGGTGAGTTCAGAGCTGCTGCATGGCACCGGCTGAACGTGCCCTTGGCTCCTCGTGGCACGAGGAGGGAAGAGCCCGTGGGCAGCCTGAGCCGCCCGCTCGGAGCGGCAGCCCCAGAGCTCTCATCCAGGCAGGAATGCCCTGTGGCAGCCGGCACAGCCTCCCCCACCGAACTCCTGCCGCACCCAGCCCTGTTGCCCAATGGTGAAGCCTCCTCTCGGACTCAAGTAGGATTAGGTTCCCATTGTGCGTTTATGAGTGTTGAAAGCAGGGCTCCTGTGAGGTACTCCCTCGTGGGACTGGTAGCAGAGGTTGTGCGAGCAGGCATGAGGACAGAAGCTGCACACGAGCAGGGTGCTGCTGGCAGGCTGTGACTCGGGCTACCGAAGGAAGAGCAAAGCCTCCTGGAATGCGGTCCATGAACAGGAGAGCACTTAATTAAAGCGTGCCTAACTAGCTTGTGTTTTTTTCCTGRACCTGTGAAGTGGTTAGATCACTGAGGAGAGCAGAGCACAGAGGGATACACTGAGCTAGCCACTTTGCAGAGCATCTATCAGAAGATTTTGTTTAAAAAAATAAATACGTTATGAAGTGCTTTTACAGCCTGGAGCTCACAGTTGAAAAGTGAAGGTTGTTAGTGGGGTGAAATTACTAACTTGGCACTTGGCTTGGTTGAGAATGAGAAATGCTGGGGCTGTTTCTGTATTTGTGTGTTACTGAACTGAGCCTTTCTGCTGTGCCCTGGTGTATCTGGCTACCTCAGCACCCCATGGAGGGATGATTCCACTTGTTCTGAGCCGCCTGTGACCAAAAGTTAGACAGCGTTTGGGACCGTGAGARGTCATTTATTATTAAATAAGTAATACGCATAGTATATTTTATAGCTGCAAATAAAATTTATATGGTTGTTTTAATTATGCATTCCAGTGACAGCAGTAATGAAGGTATCCCTTAACATAGGATACCTTCAGGAAAACACAGAGGTTTTCGTGCAGCTGCGGGCTGAGTTCAGAGCTGATGGATGGCACCCGGGTGAACGCGCCATTTCTTTCAGTGGTTTTTCAGCCAGCATTCCCTCTTGGTGCCCATGCTTTGCCACCCCTCAGCTTCTGCTCTGCACAACCCCACAGAGCCCCAGCCAGCAATATGAGGCCTCGCACCGAGGCCTTGTTTCAGATGTGCTGCGCATGGCAGATGTGAACGAGAAGTGGTTAGCACGGCCCTCGGGCTCCCCAGAGCCCGGGATCAAAGGCCTCTTGCTGGCAGTCACTGATGGAGAACGTCACCCATTATCTGGKTGTCTCATCACTTCTTAATCTTGGCACTAGCTGTTCTTGCAGCTGCCCTTCTGGATGGCAGGGATCTGAAGTACAGGGAGCACCAGGGAAGGAACCTGAGCGAAACAGGACCCTCGACTCCAGTTTGAATGCTGATAGTCCTTCTCGAAGTACCTTTAGAGGTGCACTGACCAGGGAAAGATRGATCACATTCATTGCAATGCATTACTTTGGGTTTTGCCAACTTCTGTTTTGCTGTTTTCTGTAGATCTGCTCTGGCAGATACCAGGTCTGTCCTTAAAACTGTATCTTTGCATGCACGATTATGCCCACAGGTAATAGGAAACCAGGGTTTCAAAAGAAAACCTGATCCCATTGCTAGATAATAGCAGTTTCCTAAATAAATGTGTGGTTGCCTCGGGGCTTGAGGTTGTTGCCAGATGCACCTTTTTTTGATTGGTGAGAACAGGAGATGACGCTTCATGGTATATAAGAGCAAGAGAAAACAGAGGAGCACAGATAAGCACAGCAAGCCAGTCACCTGGAAAGAAGAGTTGAGAAGGTGTTGAAGCAGCTGCTTGCAATGGCATTTGGAATGCTAATCTATATTTTGCTGAAAGGTAAGTCTGGAGGAGATTTTTCCGTGTCATAAATTACAAGACTTTGTTGAGCAGCACTTCACTCCTTAGAAAAACCAGGGGAGGGGGTGGGAAAAAAAGCCATAATTAAATTATGAAGCTGGATTATTTAAGTAATTTTAAGCCTGGATGAGTTTTTAACTGATGGGTATAATTTAGATTCTTTTAAAGGAAACTACTTTGACCAGTAAGTAGGTGTAATGTTGTCTGTGATACATTACAGGTACCTGTACCATAAATTGAGTAAGGTAGTAGAGTTGAGAACAGGATGGATATATGTTTTGGAACTCAGCAAAGGGCAGTTTGTTTCTCCACAATTGTAATTATGCTCTGACAAAAGGAGGTTAGAGGTGAGAGCACTGCAGAAAGAACTGTTTTTGTTTTGCTGCATTACATCAGAATTGTGTTAAGTGGGTACATGTTTTCTGGGTGAAATGAACCTTGAATAGACATGCTGAGTTTTTTTGTTACAGTAAACATCTATTTGCATTGTACAGCAATGGGGGCACTGAGTGAAGAGTCAGCTATTACCGTTTCATCCCTCAGTGCAGAATTATGGAATAGCTGGACAAAAAACAACACTGAAGGTACTTCTTTTTTTGTTATATCTGTCTATATTGAATACTGAATAAAGTGATAGATGTTTTTCTCTGATGACTGCCATAATACCTCTGTCATGTAGACAGTGTTGAATTGCAGTTGTTCTGTTTTTCTGAGATGAGCTGCTCTTTTTTCGTGGAGCCCTGAAAATCTCTCTGATGGCATGGCTGTCAGAAAGCTGGAGTACGCTCAGCGCTTACCTGGTCATAACTGGAAAAAAAGTATTTTAGGGCTCCTTGGGATAAATCCTCTGCACTTTTGATAGTCATTCTTGCTACTCCTAACTCATGCTTGGTTTCTGACTGTTAGCTCATCTTAGTCTGAATCTTTCCGCGTTCAAGTGAGAACGCAGCACATCAACTTGAAATGATGTCTCTCCTTGCTGTTATTCCGAAGCTTCTTCATTTGCTCCAGTTTTGCTTTCGGCTATCACAACTTCCATAGCTCTTCTCAGCATGCTAGCTTTCTCTTTTCTTTCTTTCTCTTTCCTGACTGAAATGTGAACTCAAGCTCTTTACCTGCCAAGCAGCGAGGCCGCAGCGCCGTGTTTATCCTGCAAGCTGCATTCTTGATGTTACTTGAGGTGCTAGTGATGTCATTACTTTCTGGAGAACAGTGCAATCTGCAGCTGAGGTTTTGGCAGGTCAGTAAAGGAGGAAAGGATTTTAACCCTGATACTTATTAACCTCTTTGTACTTTTGAAAGAATATAAACATGCATACAAATCATCTTCTCTTAATTGTAAGTCATCTCAGGATGTCTTACAAGCTTTTTTAGTAGATACATAAGCTTTTTTTCCCCCTCATAATTCAAAACAAGGCAAACTACTGTTCTCCTTTTTTCTGTCTGTAGTTTGTCATAGTTATATAGTGTTACAGAGTGATATATATATGTATAATATAAATATTTACACTTACATATGTGCATATATGTTTTAAGTAAAAGATCATTGTCATTTCTCAGTGCAGGCATTTCAATTATTAGTACAAGATTTGTGGTTTGACTTAGTGTATTTATCTGTGACGTGGTTCTTCTGAAGTTACATGTGGAGCAAATAGCGATATAACCAAGTAGAAATACATCTAGTGACTTCTGAAGTAGCCTGTTTGTGCTGTATTTAGAAAGTGTGAGTTACACATCATATTGTAATGAGACAGACATTTCATTAGGAATAAAAAATGCTTTAAAAAGTCATCAAAGAAAATGGCAGTGTCACTATGATCTGTTAMTGTAGCTTCTGTTTTTTTACCAGCGAGGTGCATAAGTTGTAATTTGTTATCAAATTTCAGGAATAAAGGATTCTAAACAAATTAATTTGCAAGTAAATATCACTGGAGGAACTGGTAGTTTTTTGTGGAATTGTAAGTTCCTTGGGGTCTGAGGTGCAGCTGGTGGAAAACCGTTGATTTCTGATCAGTGAGCAGTAAATCCATTCACCTCCCATGTACTGAATCATTTTCTCTTCCCTTTCTGTATCTGTTGTACAGGCTTTGCTTGCAGTCAGTGCTGAGGTGGGGTAATGCTGGGCTGTGKGGTCAGCTGGGGCATTGGTATGGACAGGGTGTCTGGCAGGGGCTGAGGAGGCGCAGATCAAGGACCTGGGGCATCCTTCCTGCCAAAAAGAAGGCAGAATTCCTGTTAAAGGGGCTGTGTTTGCAGGGCAGTGGTCAGGCAGGAGTTGGGAATGCTGAGAAGGGGTCAGTTTTACTGCAGAAAAATGTGATCCATTCAGTGCCCTGAACTCCTTTCTCCATGTGGCCTGTAGAGACAATCCTGAACTGGGGCTGACCCATTGCCTCTCCTTTCCGTCTCTCCCGTTCCCCCAGCACAGACCATGCTTGAACGCTGAGCCGTCCCTCACTTGCTGGGTCACTCTTTCTGTCACTGGTCCCTCAGTTTTAGCGTGCCCAGGTTTTCAGGTGCCTGTCGCTTTGATCTCGTGTCAGATCTTGCCAGGTGTATCTGCTTCAGTGACTCAGTTGCAGGCGACTGTCAGGTGCTTACACAGCATGCTTTTTTCCCCTCACATGACTTGAAAGGGCACATGAATGTGTTTATTCAAAGCTTATTTAGTATCTAGGTGGATAATGTGATACAATTAGCATGTTTTGGAASGGTATAGGTGGAAAAACGTTGTTTTCAAGACTCTCCTTCTTTTCAAGACAATTATTTCTACTTATGCAGGGTCACAATACTTAGTACCTAAAATTTTACTGCACGTTCATTTTAGACCTGACCTTGCAGCCCACACTGCCCATTCTGGATGATGAAAAAGGAATGTATCGTTCAGTTGTGACCTGCAAGGCAAAGTGTTTGTCCCAAGGCTTTCTAGGCCGGCTTCTGGTCTAGGCTGACCTTGGTTTCAGATGGCAATATTAATTTTGATTATGCTCAGGACAACAAGTCTTGCATGCCTATGCAGAGCAAATTTTACTCTCACAGTAGGTAGGTGAAATGCTGCCATCTCTCGGTAGAAGTGGAGTAAATCAAAACTAAGGCAGAAAGGATATTTAGGCAGCATGAATACATTTGCCTGAGTCCTGGATAGGGGTTGTTGGGGAGCCCGTGCCTTCTGACATGTAAATTTGTACATTCTTTGCTTATTTTTCTCTTTCGTCAGTGAAGTGCTCAGTCAGTCCTCCAATAGAACTCTCCTCAGGGCCCGGCATAAGAGTGGCAGGAAATACACAGTGAAAGGTTATGGTTAACGCTCGTGTTTTGATGTTGTGTAGTTCAGTGTTTGGCCTTCATTGAGCTAGAATTGTGAGGCTGATCCTTTGGTRCATGAGTGTTTGAAGAGAGGCACAGCGAAGCTTAAACGTACCAAGCTGGTGTCTGCAGAGCTGTCTCCTCAGCTTGCCTGCAGTGTTCCTGAGGCAGCCAGAAGATGCCAGGCCTGGATGCTAGAGCCTGCTCACGTGTATTTCTGCCTCCTTTCTGTGCCACAGGTGTGATGCAAAGCTAAAAAGCCCTGCATTGGCCCGGCACAGCCTTAGGGCAGAGACACGGCGCCTGTTTCAGCATATGGGGCCTCAGTCTCAGCACATCCTCCAGTCTATCTGGCTTGCCACTTGACTAGTATACCAAAAACTGCTGCTGCACTATTGAGCCAAGACTTTTTAAATTAATGCATCGTTTTCTACCTCAATAGCCTTTGCTGTAAAAGAGAAGTCCACATACGATTTGCAGGAAGAAGACTAGAATTGTTTCTTGTTCTCTGTATGTCCGTTCGTGAGTTGGGGTGTCATTTATTTCTCAGCACACTGTTTTCAAAGTAATGTTGCGTGATCAGGATAGCAGTGATAACCTTGAATCTCTTACATGTCCAAACCATTTGATTCACAACTGGACCTGTGACATACCCTGAAATGCAGTCGTATGGTAAATAGAGTAGCTGTTTACCATCACTTGTCACATCTTTAAAGCAGCTTGCATATAGGAAGAAGAAAATCTTGCCTAATTGAATACCCAAGGGGAATTCCTGCCATGAAATGACTGCAACTGGAATTTGGTCTGTAAACTGGGCAATTGCTATCGTTATTCCTGGGAAATGCTAAATGGGGTCTTGAGTTGACCACAGCAGGCCAGAGCAGCCTGAGGTTTACGTCATTCCATCGGCATAGTATCTCCCAGCTTTGATTCAGTGTTTACTCAGAAAGGAAGGCCTCTGCTCCCTGCAGCGCTGTTTAGTCACTCCGAGCAGATATTGTCACCTTCCTGCCAGATGCTGCTTTTCTCATGGTCATAACTGAAAGCTGAAGTKGACGTATGCTCAGTTAAGACATCACTAAATCAAGCTCCTGGAATAGTAAGACATTGCTTGGACACCCCACCCCGTTAGTGACGGCTCTAATTGGGGAGAGAGACCAGTTCAAACAGATCCTCCTTTGACTGTGCAGCTTTTGAGCTTTCTCTTGGCTCGCCCCACGCCTGCTCCCGTGACACATGGATGCTGCGCTCGGCGCTTCTTCCGCACCCCAGGGTACATCACTGCTGGATGCTCTGCTCTATCTGCTCTAGGTAACACTGATGTCAGGTCCCAAAGAACACTTTTCATTTGGGCTTTTGTGATTGGGAATAAGCCAGTCATTTTCTGTGCTTTCAAAGCAGCACTTGCTTACTAACCTAAATGCATAGGACTTTTGTCCAGTTTTAGAAACTGAATAGTCACAGAGTTGCTTGCTCCCAGATGGAGAGACCATTTGAGGAATCCTGGGTGCTGACATTAGGCAGTGCAGACCGGATAAAGAGAGCAATTTCATCATTCAGAGCTCAGCTGTAGCTGCAGAGCTGAGGGACAGGAATAATAGAAATGCAGTAGTCTTTTGTCCCTTGACGGGGAAAAGGCAAAAGGAATTAATCCATCATTTGAATTCAGCTTGGGAAACACACTGAGATTTGTTCAAAACTATCATTGCATCCCAAAGGCCTGATGTTCCTGGGGATTGATGTTCTAATGGTTTGCAGGTTGCATAATGCTGGTCTTACRATGGGCTCGATCTTACCTGATCTTTCTTATACACACGGCTCAGAAGGAAGTACTTAAAGTTTGTCAATTTTTTTCTCTAAACCATGTCTGAACTGATTTACAAGACATATCAYAGTAAACCTATGTGTTAAGTGTCTTTCTGCAGTAAATGTCTGTCCATCTTAAATTGTGAAAGTATTTTCAGATGATTTGACTTTTCCCAAAGATAACATAGCTTTTCCTTTCCCTTTTGCAGTAGACCACACAGAGCAGCCRAGGCTCTTGAAGCTTATGCAAGCCTGTCTTGAGGAGCACCACAGCTATTGTATTAATGGGCTCTGTGCTTTTCACAGTGAACTGAGGAAACCCATATGCAAGTAAAGAACACTATTTATAAATACCCTTCTTGGAGAAGTAGTTTCTTTGTCTGTAATGTATTATTAATGTCATGCGACTAGTTTTTAGCAGAGCACAACTTTTAAGTGCCAGTGAAGCACTTGAAGGCTTGACGTTTGGCCCATGCTTAAATGCTGTGCTGACTGCTGATTCGAGACTGGTGCCATGCCACTGTAATACCAGGGAAAGGAGACTGAAAATACACAGCTTTCTAAATCTTCCTAAAGGATGKCTTGACAACATCTCAAGTCATGCTAGAGTCAAAGGATTAGATTTTCACAGGGAGTAGGGGAGGGGTCAGTAATTCCAAAGAAAGCAGTTGCAATTCCCATACCAAGCCTGAACCTTGCTTTATAGATAAGAGTTTTCTAGGTCCATATTGGGCAGCTTTGGCCATGGCAGATGCTGCAGCAACTAAAGATCAGCAGAGCCCAGGGCCCTTTGTCCACACCCACTTGGATGAGGGTGTGTTTAGACTGTGTTTGCTGCTGTGACTACTGTGCTTGAGCTAGCTCTAAACTAGATGGACTGGGACAACTGGTAGTCTTGGTGGAGTTAAGAGGTTCTGACTGAGCACTAAGTCGAGCCTTCCCTTCTTGAGACTGGCTCTGAATTGTTAAAACCTGATCAAATCCAAAATGTATTTCTGGAATATAAAGCAAAAGAAGTTCCGTATAATTTAGTTTGGTGTATATTTGTTTTGTAGGTGCCTTGCAGGTTATAATGGAGAGAGGTGTGAACATCTAACACTGAATTCCTATGCGCATAATTCTTATGAGCGCTACATTGCTGTGGGAATTGGTATAGGAATACTGACCAGTGGGATACTTGCTATCATCTACTGCTACGTAAGAAAGAGGTATGGAAGATAGATAACCTCTTTAGTACTTTGATCTGAGTTTTGTGGGGGAGGAAAGCTGTGCAGAATTTTATCAGGGAACTGAGAGTGTGTTGTTGCCTCTGTTACTCATTCGTTGTGTGATCTTAAACTTTGCTGATACTCAGATTCCCTGACTTTCATTTTCAGACAAACAGGTAAAATTGTGCCACCTGCCCAAGGCACGAGTTTCATTKAGGCTGCTTAAATGAGTTGGACAATTGGATTTAGTCTGTTCAGACTACTGTGGTTTTAGAGSTTCTTGATTAAAATCTTGTCACATTCTCCGTTTCAGATGCAGAAAGCTGAAATCACCTTACAAAGTTTGCATGGGTGAGACCGCGCTGTGAAGGCCTGGAACTGGGACACTTACCAGCTTGTCTGTAAACTAGGGAAGGTTCTGACTTGGGAGGCCGTCCCGTGCCGTCTCGCAGGCATTCCCGCCTCGCTGCTGAGGGGAGGGAAAGGGAATGGCACAGCAAGGGCACAAAGGAACTCCTGCAGAGCTGATGGGCTCCGTTCACTTTGAAGAAAGATTCCCTCTCTTTAGTAATGCTGCATGAGCAGCTCATAGCAGCTAAAGATGCTTGCAGCCTTCTCAACACTCTCCTGTGGTACACGTTTGCTGAGGGAAGGACTGATTTTTTAGCTGCTTTCAGCCATTTCAAGCCCTAGCAGAGTGTGGTGGCCTGGTCTTCCTCCCTCTTTCCCTTTATTTTTCCCTCTGGCGGAAAAGCACAACCTGTCTCACAATGGAATTGTTCTTTGAATGTCACATGCTGACAAGGAGCCACCTGGGTTCATCTTTCACAAGCTCTGCTGCATGTGGGCTGRTATCAACAGGCCTCTTCCCACGCTGCAGGTATCTCCAGTGGGYTAAGCAGAGCACAGGCTTTTCACTGCCATTCGGACAAAATTATAAGACATCTAAGGCTGAGAAAAATGTATCGTCCTCAGAGACTTGTGTAAAAGTAAGAATAAAACTTAAACCATTTCTGGAAAATCACATTATGAGATCTCAGGGCATTACATGTTCTTTGAATTTTGACAAGCAAAGTGCTTGGATATCTTCACCGAAATGGATACGGAGTGTACTCGCAGACAAAGAACTTTACTCTTCCTTTGCATCAAATAGCAACTCATCAGAGTCTCAAGACCTTCAGGCAAATCATTGCTGTCCTGGACCATGATTTCAGACTAAGACTCCAGTTGCTGAGGGAGCTGAAATGTTGTTGTAGAACTTCCAAGATGGTTCTGTCCAGGAAACAAACTCCTTCAGCTCTGTTTTCACAGTATGTGCACAATATCACCACTGAAATAAGAAAGAAATGACCATAAGGATTTTGTTCTACCTGGGYCTGACAGATTGCTTGGTACATATTTAAGGTATTTTGGGTGTTTGTTTGTTTTCATCTATGGAGAAACCAAATCCAAACACTTACTATTCTAAGAGAAAGGAAGCAAATTGGTTCTGAAGACTGTGGCACTAACTGTGACTTGTGGGCATTTGGAGTATTTGCCAGGCTTGTGCGACTGGCTCCGAGAGATTTTCATTTCAGATACTGCATATTATAGACACATACCTGCTTTGCTTAGTCATCTGCAAGAAAGCAGCAGTTGGGTACCTCAGAAATCTGTGGAATTTTCAGGGCTGATGTCGGCTTCTGAGTTGAGGTGCTTTGCTGTAAAATTGAGCTTGTTTGTTGTGTGTCATTTGTTTAGAGACATGTGTATTTATGGGCCTGCTGTGGTCCTGGTGAAATGTGCGTGAATGACGGCGTTGCTGGCAGGGGAAACGAGTATTTAGCACTTCTGTGATCWGGTGCACTTGGCTTTTCACACAGGGGCATCCTGCTCAGTAGTCGAGCTGTCTCAGCTCTGGGTTGATACCAATAAATAATGACATGTCTAGTGTTGTGTGGTTGGACTCCCTGTGCAACAGGCAGGAGCCAGCGGCAAGTGTGTGCACTGAAAGGAGTGWTGGTGAGGAGCTGGGTGGAAACACACACCAGTACTTCCCTCTGTGCATTGACACAAGTATTTTGCAAGATGCCTTGAATTCATTTCCCAGCTCTCAGCCTATTTGCTTTTTTCAGTCTTAAGATAACTCTTCAAGTCCATCCGTTTGTTCCTTTCTGTTCTTCTGACCTACTCTTTGTATTTACTGAAATACTGCTCTTGCTATTTTTTAGGTCGTTGTGCTGGTGTATTCTGTTACAGATAGTGTAGTGAGAGTACAGTTAGACTCTTAATTAAAACACACACTCAGCGACCACACAGAGCTCACGCACACTTGACAGAGGTTGCACTGAACCACCTGTTGAAAATGTGCCTGTAGTCAGGAGAACTCCGGAGGGAGRTTGTCCCCCTGCATCCTCTACAGCTAGATAGACCAAATGAGAGAAAGCCACAAAGCTTTTGGCATTTGACAGTGCACGTGTAGAAGATGAAAATGGAAGAATGACAGGAAGAAGAGAAAGGAGGTCTTTGCTTTATTTTCCTGTTTTTCCAAGACATATTGAGGTTTCACAAATGGGTTCGGGTGCTAACGCTGGCTGCGTGAGCAGGCTGCCATCTCCATAGGCACCCAGGACTGGTGGCACCAGCACAGATGACTGCTTTCTCTGTCACTTCCCAGCGTGTTTACAGGCRGTAGCCTGTGTGAGAGAAGAGTGTTATCATTGCTGTTTTAAGGGATTTCATCAGGCCAAGGCCGTGTTTGAGGCATCGCTGCACGAATGAATCACTCGGCTGTTTCACACAGCGGCCCTGCTGAGAGCTCTGCGCCGCCTCAGGTTGCCGCGTGGAGTCAGCYGTGCTGGGCCCTGCCTTGGTAAGTGACAGATGCTACTGGACTAGTATTGTGTGTTGCTGCTTACAGGGTAGAATTTCCTGCAGAACTGGCAAGTCAGAGGATCAGGATCATCTTTCCCAGCTCAGTGGCCAGGCTCAGACTCCTCCTCTGATGGCATAACAAAAGGAATGACAAAGTTGTTCTTCCCAGTAGCTGCACATTTAAAAGCAAAAGAAAATCCCTGTAATTTCATGCCAAGGCCCTGCGTGTGGCTCCAGGGTAATCCTGCATGAGGCCTGCTGGACTGCTGCCTAATTGGAGCCAAGAGCGAGGCACTAAAGACTGGGAACTAACACTGAGTGACAGAGCGCTGGCCTCATGTCTCACACTGGCTGTTGGAAGACGGACTGTGGTGTTTCCCTGCACTGCATCTCTCAGGACAGCTGCTTTTAACCCACCCATCCCCTCCCCTGCTTGGCTGACTTCTGCCCTCACCATCCGCTTGTCATTTGTTGCTAGTGCTTGACCGCCTTGGGTGCCTTCCCCAAAGCTGACTTGGATTTGCTACTGAGGTGCATTGCATGGCCCGCAGTTTCCTTCCTCTCAGCAAGGTCCTTTTGCAATGACCAGATATGAGGCTGTGGAGAAAYGGCTGCCCTTGAAAAATGCTGCTTTTAATCCTGGGTGGAGGTGGATCCGCTGCTGCTGCTGCTGTTTGGAGCACACGTGGTCCCTGTGAGCAGTGAGAACTGTCCTGTCGCCGGCTGGGATGTGCCGTTCCTTGGTGGCGGTGCCAGCGACCTGCCACGTGTGTCATCTCCCAGTCACCGGGTGCAGAGGCTGCAGCTGCCCGGCTGGTCYGGTCCGGTCAGACACCCAGTCAGCGGCTGCAGCCGGGGCCAGCGGCTTCTGAGGAAGGTCCGAGAGATCTGGTGACAGGCAGGCAGGTAGGAGACAGTTTTCCCCCTCAAGGTTTTCCCTAGTCTTCCGTAACCAAAAACACAAAGTTTGCGTAGTAACACAGCACAKTTTCTGATCTTTTCCTGTGATACCACAGCTGCTTCTTGTATGTATTAAAGGGAAAAATGTGGGTATCACAAGCTATCTAGGGTATGGCCAGAGCATAAGTACTAGGCTGTGTCCAAAGATCCAGACTGCTTACTTGCTAGTGGCAGCTCATTTCCTAAAAAAGTCATTTGACTCTGATCACTATTTCATACATTTCTGTCATTTTTTACACCTGGTCTGTGTTTACTTGATTTCTGGTGCATGAGAGAAATTGCAGTTGTAAGAGATCCCACAAGCACAGAGAAGCCTAACTTTACACAGAATTAATTTAGTATTTAAGTTAATAGTTTCCCCTGAAACTCACAATCTTTAATGAATTTCTCTTTAGAGCGTTTCTGTGAAGCAAGGCAGTGCTTTGAGGATGATGTGCTGAGGAGAACCAGGATTTGGAAGGATTAAGGTCACATGCATGTCAGGCACCGGGGTCTTGCCTCCAGGTTTGTCAAGCCTTTTTGTAGTGCTGTAGCCAATAGACCATCCGTTTTCACCTTCTAGGTCTGTTAGGTCTGCTAAGAAATATTTAGGTAAGAGACTCCCTAGAAGTGTTTAGAGAGAGGAAAGAAAAGAATGTGAGTTATTGATATGACAAAAGTTGTAAGGCCCAAAAAAAGGTTCTTTTTGAATGTTAGCCCCAGCTCTATATTTTGTATGACATGAAGACAGCCTTTTTCTTTCTTTTTTCTTTTTTTTTTCTTTTTTTTTTTTTTTTGAATATTCTTGGGGATATTCAAAGAACGATCATGACAAAATGTAAGTACTTAAAAAATGACAGTTTGTGTAGTGTAGATAAATTGCCTGAAGGTTATATACAATTGACTCTAACCCTTCATTGGTAGAGTCATGAATAGTGGTTCCTGAGATGGAACTGTTGGAGAGCTGAGTCCATCCATCTGAAAAATAAGCATAAAAATGTATAAGTGGAGGAAAAATGGGATGGCCGGTGCCTGTGTATCCTGGTTCCAAAGACATGAGGGCGTACCTGGACCTGCCTTCAGGGATACTGCAAGTACAGTCTGCACAGCTCAGTGCTCACTCTGTGCTTCAGAGCTCTGCGGGCATCTGCAGGGGCCTGTGTAAGAGACATGGTGTCACTAGCCTCCTTCTGGAGAAGGAAACACCTGTAGAGGTCCCTATTGTACTGAAAGTCTGGGAAATGACCTGGGACTCCCTCTTTGCTGCCACTGACTACAGCTCAGTGTAAGTAGTCATTAACGATCATGACAGCAATAAAGTCTCATGCTCTGGCGAGACTTTGGGCTGCTTCTGCTCTCGCTGAATTAGAGCAGAGGAGGCTCTGTGTAAAGCAGCTGTTAGCAAGCTGACGGTGTCTGTTGTAGCACAGTAGGCACTACTGGCTTGCCRAGAAGAGGAAAGTATTTATTATGGTGCTTGGAGCAAGCAGGGCAGATGCAAGCAGGGAGACACCTTGGGTTTCAAGCACTATAGGCATCTCAATGGGCTGCTAAAGCTAGAAGGTGGAGAACAGACGGTTTTTGTCTGAGAGAGATGTTTGTATGTCTACTGCTTGCCTGTAGACAGGCAGTCAAGTTCCTAAATAAGACCTTTAAATTAGATATCTATAGTTAGAAAAGATAAATACCTCTTTTCAAGGAGGCCAAATGAGACAATGCAAGAGGAAATAGAGGCACAGAAAAGGGAAGTCACCTGAGGTAAGCCACACAAAGCCTGAGCTTGGTGCAGACCCTGGATCTGAGTGGCTGCTCCCTTTCCCATCTGCAGGCCCAGTTACACAGCTGGCCACAGCCATTTGTCATGACCCAGGGATGGGAGCCTTAGGGCCTCATCACTGTTGCTTCATTAAATAAATAAATAAATAAATAGCAAAGTGAAAAACCCAGACCCCTTCACACCCTAGATTCTGTGGAAAGATGCCTCTCAGTAGCTCCCTCTGGGCACCAGGACACCAAGCACTGCTGAGACATGAGAAGGCAGCTCCATGCTTTGCAGAAACATCTGACCAGCAGAGGCGGTGTTCACTTCTTTGACGTAATTCCTGTACGTAAGACTCAGTCCATCTGCGTGCCATTGTTAGGTCAAATCGCGTGATGAAATGCGTTTTATTGACTTCTTCCAGTGATTCGCTGGAGCCCAGCAGCAGATTTCAATATGACCACTCTTCCGGGAAGCCCTCTGGTAGGTATTAACTCAGAGWTTAAAGGTTGTGGAGCAACAAATAGGCCTCACAGGCCTGGCCATCTTTATGTAAGAGGGAGGATCCGGGCACTGCAGCGCATCCCTGCTCTGCAGCCCAGCAGCCACCTTGCAAATGAGGAAACAAGTTGAGGTGACTCAGTTGCAGGTGGGGGGACAGTGTCGGGACYTTGAGTGACAGGCCAAGCCACGTGGCCAGAACACAAAGTATTTGGCTGATAATCTGTGACTTTCCCCCTCTTATCAAGGTTAGTGCCTCACATGCATAAGGGAGGAGATGCTGTTTTATTGGGAAGATGCTATTAGGACAGAGCAATGCAAGGACAGCCCTCAAAGCGGCCCTGCCTGTATCTGCTCTTTCCAGAAAC